TTAAAATATATTAAAAAATCTACCTAAAAATGAGGAAAATTCAATAGATAGTATAAATAAAAATTAATAGTAAAAATAATTAAATTCATTAATTAGAAATAAAAATAATCCCCCAAAAATAACAGAATAAGCATAAGTAAAATTAGTTATTGAAGACTCTTAAAATAAAATCGAAGAAGAAAATAACTAAAAGATCGAAGAAGAAAATAACTAAAAAATCGAAGAAGAAAATAACTAAAAAATCGAAGAAAAAAATAACTAAAAAATCTAAGAAAAAAATAACTAAAAAATCGAAGAAATAATAGAAAAATAAGAAATAATTCCAGAAAATATAAATAACTAAAAAATTGAAGAAAATTTTTAATTTTTAAATAAACAAGAAAATTTTCCTAAAAAAAAGGGGGAAAATCATCAATAAAAAAGCAAGAAAAAATCCAAACAAAAAATAGCCAAAAAAATCTTCTAAAATAAATTACAAAAAGATATTGTTGAATTCGTAGAAAAAATAGACTAAGAATCTAATAAATTAAGATTTTCAAGATATACAATATATAAAAGAATTCAATAAATAATAAAATCTCTATATCAATAAAGTATATAATAAATAATTTCTTTTTAAAAAAAATTAAAAAAAGATTATAATGCTGATGCTAGAATATATGGATCTTGTGCTACTGGATTAGCTTTGCCATATAGTGATGTTGATATAGGAATTATAGGATTTGAAAATGAATTAAGATCCGAAAATATTAAAATATTAAATAATTTAGCAAACTATCTTTCAAATTTTAAATGGGTTAAAAATATTGAAAAAATCTTTACTGCTAATATTCCTATTATAAAAATAGTAAAAAATAACATTTATAATGTAAAGCAATAAAAATTATAAAAAAAAGGATACAAATCCGTATATAAATTACGAAGAAATAAATGAAAAAAGCGATTTAAAATTATCTAAAGATGAAAATTATACAAAATTAAATTTATTAAACTAAGTTAATATTCCTGAGACAAACATAAAAGTGGATATAACTATTGAAGCATTTAACCAAAGTTTATAAAATTAAGATAATATAAATCATATGGGATATTTAACTATAGATTTTGTCACAAAATGGCTTTCTTATCTAAATTCTTTACATCCATTGACTATTATTTTGAAGTGTTTTTTAAATGTTAGAAAATTAAATACTTATTTTACTGGAGGAATAAGTTCTTATAGTTTGTTAATTATGATAATTGCATTTTTAAAAGATATTAATGCTGGATTTAGTGAAGATTATGCGAATTTGTTAATTAATTTTCTTTAGTTCTATGGATAAAACTTTAATCCTGAGTTTACTGGAATTTCATTAGGAATAGGGAAATGGTATTTTTTTTATTATTATTTATTTCATATAAAAAAATACTAAAAAGTCCTTTTTTCCCTATAATGAGAAATAATAATAATTAATCAAAACTTATGATTATTGATCCTCTAACGAATAAAGTTTTAACATAAAATACATATCTTATTGATGAAATTATAAAAAATTTTAATAATTTTTATTTTAAACTTAATCAACTCTATTTAAATATTGAGAAATAAATTGATAATTTTAATTAAGAAGAGCTTATGGAAATAGAAAATAATTAAATTATATAATAGTTGTTAAATTTTAATTATATTAATTATATTGTTTATAATTTAGATACTTAATCATGATTGAGATATTAGAATTGATATATATTTTTTTATTTAAAATGCTATATTTTATATATACGTATATTATATTTATAAATTTATTTTTTATTATGAGTAATTAATATGTATGTATATTTATATATGTTATTTTATTTAATTAGCCTTATTATTACTTTTTAATTTTTATTTCTTTTCGCTATTTTTTTTTAAAAAAAAATATACTAATTTTAAAATTAAATTAACTAATTTATTATATTCTAAAGTCAAAAAAAAAAAAAAAAAAAGTTTAATATACTAGTAATTTTATATAGTTTATATTTGTAAATAAAGAATTTTATTCAAAATATTTTAATATAATGATTAATTGTATTTTGTTCTTATAAATAATTTTTCAATTTAGAATTTTTATGTATTTTAATACCATTTTTAATAGTGGTAAAAAAACTGATTTATTAAAAATGAATTTAATAAAAATATAAAAAAAAATATTAGATATAATAAAATGGTTAACAATTAATACAAGAAAAGTAAAAATATTATAATGGACAAAGATAAAATAACTGAAAAAATATATTTTTTAAAAAAAATTACTTTTCATAAAAACTATAAAAAAAAAATGATTACACAAACAACTATATAGAAAAACTAATAAATTAAATTTTACAAGATCAAATTATTTTAATAGAAGTCACTAAAATCAATAAATAAGTAAGTTTTTTTAAATAAAAAAATTAAATCCAGAAAAAGCATAAGAAAATGAAAATTTATAGCAAAAAGAATTAAAAATAATTTAATAATTATTCAATAAAAGCAAATACAAATTAATAATAAATAATAATAAAAATTTGAAAAAAAAAAAATTGATTAATTGATATAAAAATTTAATAATTGGAAGTATTATTAAAATAAGAAAAATAAAAATCAATATATTAGAAAATTAATTGGAGTATTACTAATAATTATATGGGTAAAAAACTATATATTAAAAAGATAGAATAAAAATAGACTTAATATTATAATAATTTGCTTTAATAAAAAAAAATAGAATGAAATTTAATTAATGATAAATAAGATATATTAAGCACAAAAATATAAAAATAATAGATAAAAAGTATTTTTATTATTAAGAAAAATAATATGTATTAATAAAAAAATATGCAAAATGAATTATTTGTTTAATAAACAAAATATATATAAAATTTATAGGTAAAAAATTAATAAATTAATTTAAATAATATTTTAGTATCTTCAATGTTTTTTTTATTAATGAATAATCTAAAAATAAAGGAAAATTGAATATTTTCATTAATAATTATTTAAAAAGAGGAAGAAAAATTATTAATTTTAATTTTAATAGAAAAAATAATAAGAAAATTAAAGAAAAAGCAATTATGGAAAAATATATAAACATTTGTAATAAAAATATTAATAAATTAAAATTAGCTAATATTTTATTATGGAAAATACTTATATATTATAGGAAATTTAAAAAATGATTTTTATGATATAAAGAAGTTTGATATTAAATTATTTTTACTTTTTTTTTGTTAATAAATGAATAAAATTATAATTATTCAAAAATAATATTTTTGGAGGTTAAAATAATTAAAATAATAAATATCTTATAAATATTTTTATATTAAATATTTTTTAAATTAAAATTTCTTTTTATTTAATGTAAAATAGATTTATTTTTATTTATATTTTATAATTTTATCTATAATATATTTTATAATAAATATTATTTTGATCAATAACATATAATATATTGGCTATATTACGTTTTCATAAAATAAATAAAATAATAAAATAAAAATAATTTTATATTATATATAAAAATAAATTTTTAAAAAATTTCAATAAAAAACTGAAACATATAAAAATTTCTAAATTCGTATTTTATTTACAAACATACCTTAAAATCTATGCTTTTAAATAAAATATTTAATATTAAAAGTTTTACTTGATTTTAGTTAAAATAAGATATACAAATATAAATTATAAAAATAATAATATATTAAATATATTTTTTGTTTATAAATTAATATATATATGAAATTTTAATAGTATATTTTTTTAAATATACACATTAATAAAAAAAAAAAATTATCTTTGTAGATTTATTTACCCACTTAAAAATAAATAAATATATATTTTTATAAATATTTTTTTTTTTTTTTAATAAAATTAAAAATATTGTATATAAAATTTTTAATATACTATAATAGTATATTTTTTAATATATAAAAAAATTACTAAAATATAAAATAGTTCTTATATATATATATACACAAAAAATTCAAACCAATCTTTTTAAAATTTTTCTAATATTATATTATGTAGTATCTAAAATTTCAGCCACTTTCGCTTAAGATTATAAAAGTTGATAAATTTACCAAACTTTAACACTATCATCATGTGTAAGGAAATGACAAAATCTGGCCTTGTATCTTTTCGAAAGATAAAAGCTACATTTAAAAAATTTAGGAACTTCAATATTATTTTAATTCTCAAATTAAATTAGTTTTTAGAGTTATTCTTCTTATTCTTCTTAAGATTTTACTAAGTTTCTTCTATCAATAACTATTCTCCTTCTTTGTTATTAAATATTTGGATTTGTATAATATTCTTATTGATTGTTAAATTCTGTTTGGTAGTTTTATTATCTTCTTTAAGGTTAATATTAAAAATTTTATTAAAATTATTATTAATCTTAATCTAAATATGAATAATAATCATATTCTTCAACATCATCTTCATCTTCTTAATAATAAATTTATTATTGTCTATATTAATTATTTTCTTATTATTAATAATTTGTTTAAAAGTTTTACTTTTATTACATTTCTTGTTCATCATATTCTTCATAAATATCATCTTCATATTCATTTTAATTGAAGTTTGTTTAAAAGACTACATTTTATAATTTTCTATTTTATTATTAATAGTTTTGATTTTAATTATAAAAGTTTTAACTCTAATTTTAAAAACTATTGTTTTAATTTTAAACATTTTAATGCAAAGTTTACAGTTCTTCATTTATTATTTCTTATATCTAATATGAATCATTTATTAAATTTTCGTTTATATTTTATATATTCTAGTATATTTAATCAGAACTTTTCTTGCCTTTTTCATTTTAAAGTTATTTTAAAAGATCTATTTTTTGAAGCAATTAGGATATGTTTTGGGAAAGAAGGATTTCTAATTCACTTTTTAGACCTTATATTTCCTATTATACTTAATTTTTTTATTAATAATAGGAGTCTTAATATAACTTTTATGTGCTATCTCTTGTTTTTAATGGTTTTACTTTATGCATTTGAAATTATTATTTTTTTCTGTTTATTTAATCATAAATAATATAAAGTTTTTTATACTTTGTTTTTTCTTTTTTATTTAAGTTTAATTAATTTATTATTTTTGGAATGATTTTTATTTAGTATTTTTTTTTTTTTTAAAAAAAAAGATATTTTAATTAATTAATCAAAATAAACCAAAAACAATAAAATGTCTATAGATTCAATTTATATAACTAATTTAAATAAGTAAACTAATATATATATATATATATATTTACCAATAAATCATAAGTGAAATAATTTCATATAAGAATTACAAATGCAAAAATTAAAATAAAATAATAGAAGAGTTTCATAAATAATATGTATAGAAATTCAAAAGTATGATAAAAAGTCCTGAAAAACAATAGTATCCTTTGATAAATATAAATGATCATATATGTGCATTTTAAACAATTAATGATTTTATTATAGTTTTTATAATAACAGAAGAAGTATTTAAAACAAAAAATATGTTTCTGAATAAAAAAATATTATATAAAATATAGATTCCAATATTATTAATATATAACTTAATTCATTTGTTAGCAGATGTGTTAAAATCTACTTTTAAAGATATATTGAACAGTGAAAAATTGCGAAATAATTTTAGTTCTTTAACAATAGTAAATCCAAAAATATAAATAATAATAAACAATAAATAAATAGACATTAGATCATTTTCTGGAATAAGGAGTTCCCTTAATAACCTAAAAATTTGTTTTAGAATCACTTTTATAACCTTAGGGCTTTTTAGATAAAATAGAAGAAGTGGTAATAGGATAAAATTAACATTGGCAAGAAAATTTTAAAGCTTTAGAACATTATGTTAATGGTTTAAGTGATTTAACTTATAATTAAATTAACAGAGTCGAGAATATTAGATATAAAGAGGAATTATTATTTGACATAATTGAATATTATGATTGTATAATAGATAAGTAATAGCTATATATAGAAATACTCTCATATAAATAAATAATTAAAAAAATAAAAGATAAAGTAACTTCATAACTTCAGAAATAAACGGAGAAATAAAAATGGATTGTTAATTGAGTTAATAGCCTTATGTATAAATATATTTAAATATGCCTTAAGAAATTTTTGATTATTCTTTACATGATTCAGCTTTAGATTCTGCTGAAAAATTCGAAAATGAAAAAGTTCTTTCTTTTATTCCGCCTTCTGGTTTATCTTCAATTTTATATTATAAGTAAAAAATTTAAATAAAATTTATATTTTTTTATTTTACGAAAAGTATCAAAAATACTTCGCCAAGAGTTCCTTTTGACCTTTTTCATCATTTAGAAATTAATAATAATTAAGCAAAATTAGAACTAAAACTTTAAAATAGATCAGTAAGAGGAATTGAATATAAAACAGAAGATTTCTTTATTAAAGTAATGCTTCCTAATGGTATTTAATAATCTGAAATATCACAAAATTATGGAACTGTTACATCATAAGAAAACGTAGCTTTTTGCTTAAAAAATAAAATAAAATAAAATATCTTATAAAAAAAATAGGCTTTAATATGGAAAGTAGGGACAATTATAAAAGATGAAGTTTTAAAATTAAATGCAATTTTTAAATAAAAAATGCATAAAAATTTAAAAAATAGTCATTTTGTTGTTTGTTTAAAATTTACAATTAATGATTATTCATTAAGTGGTAGTAAACTAGAAAAAGTAACAGTCAAAAATGGGGCTTAGAATTTAAAAAAAGGTTTTAAAATTTTAACAAAATCAGGAAATTATGAAATAAGATTAAATTGAATTAAAAATATATATATTTTATTATATAAAAATAACAATATTTATAGTATATATATTAAAATAATTTAAATATAATATTAGTAAAATAATGAAGAGCAAATAAATTATAAATAATTTAGTTTAAAAAATATAAATTTTAACTTAAGAGCTAAAAGTTTCCTAATAAATATGTAAATAATTAATTGAACAGAATACATTAATTAAATAAAAATACTTAAATTTGAAAGAAAAGTTTATTTCCTATCTCTAATATGATTATAAAAGTTAAAATAAGTCCTCTGAATTTTAAGATAATAGTATATAATAAAACAATTTCTAGCTTCAAAGAAATTATTCTACTAATGATGTAAATTAATTAAAGCAATAAATATAAAAATTATAATAAAATATTATCAGTAAATAATTAAATAATGAAAACTAAAACTTTAATTATAATAATATTAATTCTCCTAATTCTTTTTAGGATGTAGATTATAAATTAGAGTTATTACCGGTTAAAGATAAATAATTTAGTAAAAGAAGTTAAGTATTTGATTATTAGAATCTTCTCTATTAATAAAATTATGTTTTTGAAGATAATTAACAAGAAAATTATTTAAATAATAATTAATAAAAATAGTCAGTTACAAACACTTATTAAATATAAAGAAAAAATAAAAATATAAATAATATTTGAAATAACTAAAAAATAAATAAAAAATTTTTGTGAGAGAAATTTATTTTTTTATAATTTATATAAATATATATGTAAAATAAAACATATGTACTTTCTATATAAAAAATATAATTTTCTTTTCTTTTATATTAAAACATATAAATATATTTTTCAATTCAATTTTATTATTATAATTATTGATGCTTAAGGATATTAGAATACTCTAAAAAACCTATTTTATTACAATATTAAATTAAATATAATATAAAAATACTTATTTTTTTTGTAAATTTTCCACTTTTATTAACATCTAGGTTTTTTAAAGAATTATCATTTTAAAGATTACCTGAAATATATATATATATACATATTATAAAGCCAAAAAAAAAAAAAAACCTTTTTTTTGTAAATTAAATAAAGGCTTTTAACTATTATCGTTTCGGATAATTCTATTTTAATAACTTATAGGACTATAAGATCTTAATCTTTCTCTTTTAACATTAAAAAGTTATTTTGATTCTTTAAATGAGATTCTACGGCAAGATTTCTTTTAAAAAACAAAAAATTAATTATAAATAATATAAACAAATATTTGAATACATTATCATCAGTATTTTTAACAAGAGTTTAATTTAGTGAATTCACAACTTATTTTTAAAGAGCAATATTAGATGTGAAATTATTAATTGAGGAATGGTTATTATTTTATATTTAAACGTTTAATTATTCAAATGAATTTTGGGGGAAAAATTAATTGTTTTCTTTAATTTGTTCATAGTTATTTTTAAAAGTAAGATTATAATTATTTTAAAAGGAATTTATTTTTAATTCATTAGTTTTAATATTTTAAAATACATCGATTTTATTTTATGGAATTTCCTATAGAGTACAAAAATTATCGTTTTTATTTGAAAAATCTACAGTTTAAATTTATTCTTGCTTATAATTTTTATTTTATTGCTTTTTATTTGAACTAGAAAATGAAGGGGTTAATTTTAAATGTTCTATATTATTAATTTTGTTAAATGGATTTTATTTTTTTAAAGGACTTTCATGTAAACAGATTTCTTTTTATTCGTTTTTGTTAAAAAGTTAGTTTAATTATGCAAAACTAAATCTTATTTTTTTGAATTCTTCCTCCTATTCTTCTGTTTTAAGATTACTTTCAAGTGTATTAAGGGTATTAGTCTTATTTGCACACAATTTGTTTTATAAAATGTTAAAATCATTTACAATATCATACCTTAATTCATCTATGGTTTTATATATTTTCAAGTTATTGTTTTTTTTTGTTAAAAATTCTAAATTTTCTTATAATTATTGAAAAAGAGCATCACTTTAAGTTAAAGAAAATTAAGAATTTAAAAAATGACTCTTTTTTTTGAATAAAATTAAAATATATATATATTTTTTTTTTGTTACTTTATTCTAATTAATACTACTTATATTTGAATTTTAATTAAATTCAGGAATTTTTTCTAATTAATTTTCCACACTATTTTAAAAAATGCTGTTTTTGGAAGAGTTAATTTATATACAAATATCAGAATGCTTTTTGTTTATTTTCTCTTCTTCTTTTTTTTATAAATTAGGGGTTTTTTCTAAAGAAGTTATACTAAATTATTGTTTTGGGTATTAATTATATATTTGGTTTTAATTTTATATTAAGTTTTTAGTACTTTAATATTATGTTTTCTTATATAAATCATAATTTTATTAAATTGATTATTCAAATTAGGTTGAAATATAATTATTTTATATATATATAGTTTATTCTTTTTTGCATTCTATAAGATTTTATGAATCTATTATTTCATCTGGCGCTTTTACCATTTATTTAGGAGTTAATAATTGCTTTTTTATTCCTCTTATCTATTTAAATTAATTAGTTCTTAAAGGAGAATATGATGATAAATTAATCTAGTTGTTCTAATCATTAAATTAGTTCTTTTTTTATTATAAATATGATTAAAAGTGAATGTTTTATTAGTCCTTTTATTAATGCATTTTTTATGATTTTTTTTTTTATTTATTTATGTGTTTGATTTATAGTAATTTTTTTTTTTTTTCTTTTTTTTTTGAAAAATATTAATTGTTTGATCCGTTTATTTCCTTTTTTTTTTTTTTTGTATTATATATGTATAAATAATGTTAAAGCATTTAAAATATTAATTTTTTTTAAAAAAACAAATATTTTATTTTTAAGAAAATTATTTAATTTTTTTTTAAAAAAAAAATGAAATAAAATAATAATATATATTTCGCAAAAATTAAGTATTATTGTTATTTTATTGATTTTTAATTAATTAACAAAAAAAAATATTTAATATTAGATATAATTTTTATAAATAATAATTTATTTTTATATAAATTTCTTTTCATTATATTATATTATTTTTTTTCACTTTTTTTATTATTTATATATATGATAAATCTTTTTTAAAAAATATTTAGAAATGTAATATTTGAAATATTAAAAGAAATATTATTATTAGAAGTAAATAGTGTAATACTTTATTATAAAATAATAATAATACAATAAAATATAATTTAGTTTGTTTTCAGAATATTTATTAAATTTAAATAATTAATTATTAAATAGAAGCTTTTTCATAAAAAATTTAATAACATTTATAACATAATTAATAATAATAGAAAATAATATTTTATTTTATTTTCATAAAAAAAGAAAAAAATAATAATATATTTTTCGATACATAAAATATGTAAAATTTTTACTTAAAAAATATTTCTTATTTAACTTTTCTTTTATTCTTTTATTTTTTAGATTCAAAACTTAATTCCCTTTTAAAAATTTAGAATCAAGTTTTTCATATAAATAAAAAAATTAAAAAAAAGATAATTCAGAAAAAACAAAAGACTCAATTATTTTATTATTAACTGATTAGTTCGTTTATTTAATCAGAAATTTATTCTAATTTTCCAGTACTTTTAAATTTATCCCAAACTAAATTTTTTTATCCATCATTTATGGAAACAAAAACTTAAAAATTATTATTATTATCTTAGCTTTTATTTTATTTTAAAATAAGCTTATGTTCAGTTCCTGAAAATTTTTTATCAAGCTAATCAATTACTTAGTTTAGCATTCTTCTTTAACCTCACCCTCCACAATATTCAATATCAACTTTTAAATTTGCAAATAAGAATTTTTAAGTAAATTAGAGATTTTTAGGTCTAAATAATTTTAGATTGAACATTTTTTTTTATTTATTAAAACAATTAAATTAATTAAAAAATTAAAATAAATTAATATTGTAATTATATAAATTAAATTAATATATAATCATTATAAAATTTTTACATATTTTTTTTTTTAATTTTAGTTATTTTATTTTTTTGTAATTTTATTATTATTTTTTTAAAAAAAAATAAAAAAATATTCTATTAATTTTTATAAATATTCAAATTAAAAATTTCAAAATAATTTTTAAAAACACAAATAAACAATAAAAAAATGCATATTGTTCCTCTATTTCTTAATTAATTTTATAAAAAAAATAAAATAACTTAAATCTACAAATTAAGTAATATATAATTTATATATTTAATTTCCTTCTATTATTTATCTTTTACTAACTCATAATTTTCAAATTGATTTCTCTTTAAAAAATTAAGAATAAAATTTATCATTAGGTTATATAGCAAAAGAAAAAATAAATAATAAAATTAAACATATAAATATTTTCATATTAAATAAAATATGCATAAATATTAAATATTAATTATTACCTAAAATTCAAATTATAGTTATAAGACTTAAAAATAAATAAAAAAAAAAAAAAAAATTATTTATAATTTTTTTTAATTATGAAAAAAAAATAAGAAATCGAAAAAATTATTGATTTTAGTAATAAAAATTAGAATATATATATTTATAAATTTTTATAATTATTTTAATAATAAAAAATATTAATATATTATATATTTTTAATTATATAACTTAAAATAAATTAAAATTTATATAAAAATATCAATTAGTCTTATTATCCCCATAATATAAATTTACATATATTTCTTTCCGAGATAAAAAGTAAGCTTAAATCTATCTGACAAGAAGCAACTTATTTAAACTTTTTGAAGTATGAATAGAAATAAAAAATATCTTAATAGAATATAAAAGGTGAAACAAGGAAAAGAAAATTAAGAATATTAGATAAAGGAAATATATTTAATATATTAAAAAAATTTACTGAAATAAACAATTGTGGAAAAGGAAAAGGAAAAGGAAAAGGAAAAGAAAAGGAAGCAGAAATAAAAGTATAAAAGAGGCAAAACAAAGAATCCAAACTTTAGCAGAGATGGAGGAGATGAAAAGAAATAT